AATATTGTTACTGCTACTCGGCTGTATATTGGAAATATTTTGGTTAATATCGTATTAATTATATTATATAATAATTACATAATATAAAATAAATAAATATATATTATATAATTAATTATATTATATAATAACGTATTAAATTACGTTTTACCATGACACGCCAGTGAATTATCTGACATACAAGACGAATTTTTTCAGTAAAAAATAAAAGATCACAACCAAAGTAAAGTATACTACTGATGCATTAAATTTCAATGAAAACAAACGAATCAATGCGTCGCATGATATTCTAGCCACATTTATTTGCCTTAAAGATATCTTAACGTTATTGTCGGTATTAAATTAACTCATTTCCTGCAAAAAAATGACTCCTGTGTTCGATTCGCAATCCAATGTAAGCACGTAATCAAAATACATAAACGTACATGTAATTTCATTGTCATTTGTAGGATATTCACTTTGTTCTACTACCGATTGGAAACTCAAGGCGACCTTGAATTATTATTAACAGTTCTGTATACCATAGCAACGAACACACTATACATTCATGCTTTAACTAGTAATGAAAAATATATCAGCAGTAGATTTTTTATATATTTTCTATGTTATTATTTTTCTTCATTACAAAATACTTTATCTATTTTTTTTTCTTTTTTAATAAATAGCAGTGGATCTCTGGAACGCGTCGTTCTCCCAACGAATATGAAGGATTTCATTTCTTCTGTTTTTCTTTTCTTTTCTTTCTCTTACTTTGTCTTTCTCTCCCTCTAGTATTTTGCGCATCACATTCCTAACTTACGTTTAATTATGTTTTATTTTATTTACTCCTTTATTTTATATCACGTGAATATATATATCGCATATATCCAACGTTATATTGTTGTTGTTGTTGTTGCATATGACAATTGAAAAATAAAACCGTCGACAATGTTTCTCGATCGAGTGCTTGTATCAGTTATGGCAAGAAGTGGTTCGGCGAAAGTAGCCCGAAAAAAATGGCACGATAAATAATACTAAATAGTACGTAATTAGTAAGGAATTAAGAAGAAAAGAAGGGGCGGGGGCGGGGGGTGGGTCAGACAAGTGTGATTTTGTCCGAAACGATCACAGTTCGCGAGGATAACTTTCCACGTGTGATTAAATACGAGGAAAAGAAACTAGGTATTTTAAATGGCGACTGCTTGAACAAGGCAGCTCGTGTGTACGTACAATACCGAGAAAAATAAACAAGGAAATTTATCAAGTGTTTCACGCACGAGCGAGAAACCTTTGTTAACATAATCAGTGCTTCAACGAAGGTTAAAAAGATTTAACGAAAAAATATGTATAAAAACAATGTAAAAAACGATATATGTATAAAAAAAACTACGTAAACTCGTAATGATCTTACGCTGTAAAAGATTTTTTTATAGTACGATTCTTGTGAGATCGTCAAAATATATGCCTATATAAATATATATAGTTAAGGTTATGTCAAGGTTATTTAGACACCTGAGTCGCGTGTATGCGTGTGTGTACATGGTGTCGCATATGTAATTACGTTACACCCGGAAAGGGGTGATTTTCCTGAGGTCATTCGAAGTAACTTTTTCCTTAGCCAACGAGAGCAGCGATGCCCGGTTCCGCTCGATTGACACACACTCGCGCCAGCTGATCTCGCCTCTCATTGGTCATTGTTTTTCGTTAATAACTCGTAAACAAAGCCGCGAATTGCATTTTCGCTGAGCGAAAAGTTGCTTCAAATGACCTCAGGAATCACTCATTTCCGGGTGTTAACGTAATTATAGGACATCCTGAATAATATGTATGTATGTTCATATATACATACATATTATATATATACATACACACACACGCGCGCACACTTAAGGTGTGTAAATGTTAAATGTGCAAGCAAAAATTTGGAACTGTATCGTAAAATATAAAATACTGCCAACTTTGTATAATATTAGCGAAATGAATAATAAGAAAACGCGAAATAAAAACATCTCTTTATCAATTAAAATATTGCCACATTTTCAGCCATTTTTTCAACGGTTCGTTAAAAAACGAAGAAATTTCATTGCAATAAAAACTTGTTGGTTGTAGATTAAATTTTTCGAAGTAACCGCGCGAATAAAATTTTCGAAAATATTTAACATAGAAAAAAAACCGAAACACATTACTCCATTAATGGGTGGGATATCGCTCGCATCTTTATGTACAGATCTCCCTTTGCAAAATTTATAAAAAATGTTACTTGTATAAAACGGCATAAAAATAAACAATAAAAAAATAAACATACTGAAACCTGAACGATGTAATAGTGAATCAATACAATGCATTAAAAAATATGTGTAAAATATCTCCTATAATATATTTTTTTATCGATAAGCTTCTATAGCTCATTTAGCTTCCGTGTATTTAACACACCAAGCCTTCATAAAAATATGTTTTGTTTTTCATACGTACAGTATGGCAAGACTCTTATATCAGGCTCTATTCTAATGTTTCCAGAGAAAATTATAGTTTCTCTTTCACGTGTGCATGAAAACACTCTCTATGCCATTTTCTGCTTTTTTTTTGATCATGTACATATGTATATATAATATATATGGCACACTTTTTGAGATAAGATCTACGTGGAGTTATGTCGAAACCATATATCCGAAAATCAGATAGTAATAAAACTGGGCATACGGTTGGGAAACTGATATAAAACGTCACAGCTTTTGCAATATTGTACTAGGACATAGAGAGTCAGCGGCATTACGAATAATTATCATACTTGTAGAGAATTCATTAAAGCCCAAAATCATGAAAAGCAGTCAAGGATTCACTGCTAGCAACGCTCATATAAGTTTTCAGTGTTACCTCTTGACTGAGGTCTTCCCCTGATCTCAGAAATCTTTAACATGTCCTAAGAAACTGAGCTCGTGCGTTTGATAATGGCTGGATGTAGCAAGTGGCGTGACACTCGATTGATGGGCCACATTGACTGTTGTCAAATGATGATGATGCAGCGAATGATGAGAAGTATGCGTATGAAGAATATTATTCGGATGGGGAACTTGGAAGTTCCCGGGTGGCGGGGCTCAGGACAGGAGAGGACCTGGATGTCCGCCAGAAAGGACAGACGACGCTGTAACAGCAGTTGTCTGCATGTTCGAAACATTGTTCTGCTGTTGACTTTGCTGCGTACCTGATAAACAGACATAGCGCACATAGAATATTCCTTTGCACTATCAGGAGATCGAATGTTTGTAAATAAAAAGAATAAAATGTTTCTTAAACTTACCAGCATTCTGGCTAAGCTCGGCTTTCACTCTCCTTGCAATATGGCTTCTGGTGTGTTTTCTTAAATGATCTTTACGATAAAATCCTTTTCCACATTCTGTGCATACGTGACGCTTTTCTCCAGAATGTATAACAAAATGTAGCGTCAATTGTTCTTTCCTTTTGAATGCTTTCAAACAAACGGTACAAACGTACGGTCGTTCTGGATTATGACTTTGTTTGTGACGTGTAAGATGATCCTTCCTTTTTAAGCCTGCGCCACAAATATCGCAAACAAATCTTCGTTCCAAAGTATGACCTAGTAAATGCTGCTCTAATAATTCACGTTCAGGATACGCCATATGACATTCCGGACAGCAATACAAAGTAGAACCGTCTAAAGCTGTAGTCAACCGAATTTCACCAGGTTTCGGACGTGGTTTTTTCTCTTTGGGAGCTTTCTTCTTTTTCTTCTTTTTATTATTCGGAGACATCATTATGTTAGGCGTTGTTGTTGTCGCTACAGCTACCGAAGTGGTTTGTGCCATTTCCGATTCTTTCTTAATACTTTCTGCGGAGTATTTTAAGAAATGATGCAAACTTAAAGGTAAAGTACTGGCTGGTAAGTGACTGAGGTAATCCGCCACAGTGGAACCAGGAGTGGCCAGAGATTGCCACGTAGCAGGCATAGTCGCAGGAGTTTGTGTATGAGCGTGCTGCTGGTGATGCTGATGCATCGTATAATCTTGCTGGTTTCCATTGGTTGTGCTTTCTCCATTGCGCTGCTGCTCGTCCGTCTTTTTGTCCTTATTTTTATCCTTATCCTGCAGAAGATTGCAAACGTCTTGTTGATTTATGGTTTCGGTCGCTTGCTGAAAAGATTCGATCGGCGTAAAGTCTATGTGTAACATAAACGTTGGCAAGTGCTCTCTTACAGGGGAAACATTTACCTGATGATAAGAACGCTTCTCTTGCATTCCAGGCGAATTTGTGGGCCGCTGTTGAACCGGTTGAGCTTGAGAGTACGGCACGTTTGGATAATGATGAACATTGCTATTAGGATAGCTTGCCTTATTGTTCATCATTACTTGCGACTGAGCGGATTGCACACCGTTGCTCTCAGGACGGTACTTTCCCATAACCGGCACTCCGATAGGAGGCTGGTTGGGAAAATGATTGGCGTAGCGGCCGCCTGCACCGCCAGAGCCGTCGGTCGCGAACTGATGGATACTCGGAATAGTTCCGGGAAAGTGGCCTCCGAACGGCGGGAAATTCATTGCAAACCGTCAATCAAATATCTGAAAGTTCATAGAAAATCAGAATCGACATATGATCGTGCACGACAAATGAACACTTTAAACAGCAAAGTTTACAGGATAGGTTCCGCAAGTGATAGCTTGTTCGTCAACCGACGTCCTTCATCGTTTCGTCAACAAGCTCCAAGCGTGGTCAATTACGATACTAGGACGGTACACGCAACGGGCTATCGAATAAATTCTGAATGTCATTCGGTAACATGTGCTCAAACGGCACATCGCCACTGGTCAGACAAACATCGCAGTGTCGCCGTTAGCGAGAGCTCGACGATAGACAGAGAAATCGCGAGCAACATCACTGGCTTTACGAACAAAAGAGCAACGAATTCCATTGACGCTCGAACACCATGATATTCACGATACGTCGCGTCAAAATATCTCTGTGGCGCGTCTTGCTCGAACGACGCCCGAGTATTTACTCACAGCGACGTCCCTCTCCCCATGTTTCTTCGCCGTGGAATCGAATCCTTTCCTCGGAGGGGGGTCTCCAAGAGGTAAAACAGTGTGAGGAAGCGCAGGGGCAGATTTTTGCAGCACGACAGTAGCACGAATAGCACACCGTTGGCCGCCGACGCTGCGTCGGCCGTCTGTCACGAATAGTCACGATTCACGATTCACGATCACGACACGACACGACCGAAGAAGGTACAACACACGCGGGACGAGGAACAGTCGGGACTCGTTCTTGGAAACCGCCACGGGCCGATTCGAGAATTCGAGACAGAAATTTTGCACGGCGATCGCACACTGTACAAAACCATTCGTATTCGTGTAACAAGGATCCCGAACAGTTTAGACGGCCATAGAGAAGGGTAGAATACGGAAAAAAGACGTTAAAAAACGAACATTGTACGCGGCCAGAATTGTCGCGATGCGGGGGAAGGGTGGTCGTAGAGGGACGGCAGCGCGAAGAACGGGAATCGGAGGATGGGAAGAATTGAGGAGAACGGGGGGGGAGAAGGACGCAGGGGGATGATCCGGTCAAAGGGATGGGTAGCGTGCGCACAGTGGGATGAAGCGCGAGGGGAGAGATCCGAGACTTTCCCCTCTCGGCACCTCTAGTCGATACACGGGGGCCGAATTCGCACGAAATTCAGCAGAAAATGGCCGTGCTATACTTATACGCCGTACGCGACAGGCCCCACGAATTCGCCGGTCTCTCGCGAATTCGTCGAAATATCAACTTACCATCTAGTACTTAGCAGCCCGCGTTCGCCTGGTCAGGATTATCACGGAATCGAGAACCTCCCGAAAAAAGATCCCCGCTCTATGTATGTGCCGTTGACACCTGTCTCTCAAGTCGGCGCCCCCACCCCATCCGTCCGCCCTCTACTGTGCTAGCCTCTTAACTATTTTTTCTCTCTCCGCCGGCCCTCCTCGCCGACCGCGCCGGCGAAAATGCCCGAATCCATCGGGATTTTAACTTCGAATCGCTCCCGGCGACCTACCGTTTATTTTTCTCTCCGATCCCGCCGTTCGTCTCGGATATAGATATCGAGGGATGCCGCGAATTCGGTGGCTTGAAAAACTATTTTCATTGCCCAAAACTTTTTTCTATGAAATTTCCTGTTATCGACTAATTTACCGCTCAAAGATAATATGGAAAAGAACGAAAGTTTCGCTATTAAAGAAGTACTTACACGTACATATAACATATTATGTTATATAATACATGTACATATAACATATTATGTTATATAATACATGTACATATAATATATTATGTATACTAGTTATGTTATAACGTAAGTACTCCAACTAAGAAAATAATAATGCCACTCTCTCTCTGTTGACTTGTGTTCTTAATAAGTCCAACACTCTCTATTATTATTATTATTGTTATTATTATTATTAATGAGAACAACCACAAGTCGATAATATTGATAAATTAATAATAAGAATAGAATTAAATAAATGTAAAAAATTAGATCTATATGTGTAAATGAATAGGCCTTTGAAAAAACGTACCGTGAGGGAGTAGCATTATACTTATAGTTAAAGAACTTATGTTCCTCCTAACATTAAAAATTTGATTTTTTGTTTTCCTTAAAAGTTGATGCTCCTAAATGTACTACATGTATATAGTAAACATCAACACAGTATACAAATACTATTTTGATCAGAAAAATTTAGTCTTTTACTTGTATTATTTTTGAACGACAAACTATACCGACGTTAACAGGAACTTATAACAAAATAATGAGCATAGAAATAGTTTTTAACCCACTGCATGTCTTGTGGGAACGTCAAGGAGCATCGTCAACCAAAGGAAAAAGAAGCATCAATGTAAACACAGAACTTATAACGAGCAATATATGTATTCCTATTCTCTCCTGATTATGTATAGTTTTTGTAATTAACAATTTAACGTTGATTACCTGTTACAATAATTGCGCTGAAACACACATACGAGTACGCCGAATCATTGCAACGGAAAATGTAAGCTTTCTTTTTTTTATAAATGATTTTATTGATAAAATTAAAAATATGGTACGTAATGGTATAATAATGTTTTATATTGAATTCCATGAATGTACAAATTATGCAGTTAAAAATGTTGATTAATCCTCTCTGTACAAGTTATCGGTTTATTCGTTCGTTCATGATAATATATTAAGTGCATTTTAGTTCTTAGCAACAACACTCCACGGTTATTTATTAATTGTACAAATTAAAAAGTGTAAGAATATATAATACAAGAAAGAAAATAATTCTTATAAATTGGTTAATTAATAGAAATTTTGTTTATATTAAATGTATGTTTTATTTTAGCATTTTTTCTCCAATATTTATGTAAGTAACAATGAAAATGACTTATAGACTATCCATACTGATTATGATAATAATAGCTATAATAATATGATAATAAAATAATAATTATATTTCTTGTACAGCTATACCCACTGCCTTTAGTAATGATACTTACAATAAAAAGTATTTTTTTCTTTGTATACATACATCTTTTGTTCAAATGATTTCGAGTGTGTTCGAGATCGATCGGTAAATTAGATTTGGCTCGATCCCGGCGAAACTGTTTCTTCATTTTTTTTCCTTTTGCTATTACTTTCGTCGTGCAACTTATGATAATACAAACATTTGTCAATCACGATCAACACAAAGAAGAAGATTGCAAAGTCTTCTTGCAAAAATAAAGATCATCAGTTTAGTAAATAAAATGGGTTAAATACTATACAAAATAAGTTACTCTAAACTTATCAGAATTATAAAAGTATCGTTAGTTTAGTTCTAGAAATGCTTCCCCTTTACGAAATACCGAAATTTAAATGCAGAAAATTTGGATCGTTTGATCGTACATCATGATAACTTTTATTATCTTTACGATATGCAAACTGATATTTGTGTGTATCCATATGACAATACTATCAAAAATTGATCTATATATAACTAATCGGTATTTTTCTTTTTAATGTTGAAAAAAAAAAGAAACGTAAGTGGTACCTTTCGGATCAGTTTACTGTCAATATAGTTAATAGAACATTCTTCCTTTCGAAAGTAATCAAACGCTGACCAACCCATTAATTATAAACTGTTAAATGTACAATATTACATTTGTCACGTACAACGTATCGTAGCATTTCTGATCAAATATTTAGTCGAATGTCGTCGGTTAACATATTACACTCTCTTTCTGTGTCTCGATCGTCTAGAATAAATGGAATAAATAGATTCACTTCATATTTGCACGACAGTCTTATTCCTTCTTGTGCACGGTAAACTGGTTGTATTTACAGCCCTGCTTTGTGAATTACTCGTTACCTTTCACATTACGTATTTTTCTTTCTCTCTCTCGCTCTCTCGCTCGTTCGCTCTCCCTTTCGCTCGCTCGCGTTTTTTTTCTTCCCCTCCCGTTAATTATTTTATCATCGAAGAAAAAATTAACCTCAGCCGAAAACTCGATTGCCTTCTGTCTGGCGAATCCAGTTCGCGCTTTCAAAAATATATTTTTATATTTATATATATATATATATATGTATATATAAACTTCTTTTATTTACTTCTAACTTGCGTCATGGAACTGGATTAGCGACAAAAACATATTCAATTAAAACGAGTTCGGACAAACTCGTTCCAACCATTTTTTTTTTCTTTCCTTACACGTACGCTAGAACGTGTACGCAAAAAAGAAACATCATTATTATTATTATGTACGAATTTCGTTCGTCAGTCAGCTCAGTGCGTTTTGCAGAGTAATTAATAATCATACATTAATCTGACCTACGATTTCCTTCGAAGAAGCTGATGGTGTACAAACTTTGAAATGCAGCGGCTCGTCAATTAAAAGTATCTTTATTTGAAGATACAGAGAAAGATCTCAATCGTTTTTGTTTTGTTATTTTTTTTTTGTGTTTTTCTTTTGCAACACCACTACTAGGCAACGATAACCACCATCAACGAGAATCTTTTTCTTTACACGATACCAATTTTACTATGGGATTATAGAATTTAATCGGCAAGGACGCCTTGCCTTGCACGACCTCTAGCCTGTTGATGATTGAACCGGAAGTACCGCCCAGGTTGGTGCAGGGCGGTATGCTGCTGCTAATGCTGTTGCTGTTGTTGTTGCTGTTGTTGTTGATGATGAAGTATAGCCATCGCACCAGTTTCAGCTGCGGTCGGAAGAACGACGGTGGATTGTTCGCTAACAGCTATCTGATGAATCTGCGCCTGAGAACCTTGTCCCACTTGTATCTGTATCTGTTGCAACTCGGACACCGACGACTGTTGTTGCAACTGGTCCGCCTGCTGTTGCAACTGCTCGGCCTGTTGTTGCTGTTCCGCCTGCTGCTGGGAATTCTGCGAAGTGTCGGCGGTGCTCAAGGGATCTTCTTTGATACGCTTGGCCAGATGAGACCTGGCGTGCTTTCTCAAATGGTCCTTGCGATAGAACGCTTTGCCGCATTCGGTACAAACTTCAGTTTTCTGCCCGGAGTGTATAACGAAGTGAAGATTCAAGTGTTCTTTTCGCTTGAAGCCTTTCATGCAAACCGAACAAATGAAGGGCCTGTCAGGGTTATGGCCGAGTTTGTGTCGTTCTAAGTGTTCTTTACGTTTCAAACCTGCACCACAAATGTCACATATGAATCGCCGCTCGATCTTATGCCCGATCAGATGCTGTTCCAACAGTTCTTTCTCGGGATAAGCCATATTGCACTGCGGACAGCAGAACAAAGTTGTACCATCGAGGGCGGTTACTATGCTCACTTGACCTGGTTTCGGCTTTTTCGGTTTCGGTGGCTTTTTCTTGTACTTCTTTTTCCTTTTAGGCTTCGCCCCGGTCTCCTGCTCTTCAACAACGTCAGGAATGATCGCCGTTTCACCGGCAGCAACTGTAATTTGTACAGCTTGCTCGCCCGACGCGGCGTTTCCGGTTGCGTCCAAACCATCAGCCCCTAGGGGACTGGACTCGATGGTGGCTTCCCTCTTTATTGTCTCGGCGGAGAATTTCAGAAAGTGTTGTAAGCTAATGGGCAACGTACTAGCAGGCAATCTGGACAGATAATCAGCAACAGTCGATCCCGGAGTTGCAAGACTTTGCCAACTAGCGGGCATAGATGTAATGAACTCTTCTCCGCTTTGATTCCCTTGGGTCTTAATGCTACCCCTCTTTATAAGAGCCACCGGCGTTGTTCCTTCCTTTACGTCCTCCTTCGACTCCTCCATGCCTTCGCGCAAAATCAAGTCCTGCGGTATCTGAGCTACTACGGTTAAACCTTCTGGCGCACCAGGAAGCTGCACAGTTTGTTGAATAGTTTGCTGAGACGTTGTAGTGACTGCTGTCGATGTGCTCTGTGTTGTCTGATCGGACCTAAAATCAAGATAGATAGTATTTTACTATTTTGAAAGGAAAGTAGATATGCAATACGCTATTTGTAATGTATGGCAAGGTTTTCCTACTAATTTATAAAAGTCAAAATTTCTGTAACGTTTAAGGCATCGATATACTACACATTCTATATATATATTAAACAACATCTACGGAAAAGCATGGAGACATAACTTTTACCTCGATAATTCTGACAACCTTAAAATGTGTTGTCATGGTTAACATTTTGATTAGTTTTTCTTTCATATAACTGTCACCTTATTACTGTGAATTACTAGCCTAAATCTACTCCAGATTTACTCCAGATTTTTTCGGTCACTGCAGAAACCTGCTCGAATCGACAATGATCGATGCGTTTAAAACAAGAAAACAGGATTCTCGGTATTATGAAAGTGAAACCTGGCTTTTAGGATTGTATCTGAAACTATAATACCGTATCTTATGATACATGTCTAAATTCTATCTAATAAAAGTATGTACAATTAGCTGTAACATATTTAAGAAGAAATCAGGCTGAAAGAGACCTGTCGCTGATCAAGATGGCATTCGAATATGAAACATTAGCTTCGGGTATTTAATAATTTTCAAGATATTCACAGAAAACTTGTGTAATGCTATACATTGAAAGCAGCGTATACAGACATCGCTAACACATTGAATGACGTCTATCCAGACGTTACTAAACGTGTATATCTCTTTGCTGTATAGTTTCGATTGCCGCGTCGCGTCGTCTGCCATCTCAAATCCAGCAGTCGATAAAGTAGATTTCAATATCTAAAGGGTGTCCGAACACTTCGTCTGGGTTCGATCCACTCTAACGATTTTCGATATTTTAACGATTCTCTGTTTTCTATGAAGAAGATACCTTTCCAGAAGTTCACCTGTAATAGTGATCGCCGGGAAAAGTAAGGAGCCTGCGGCGACCTACGCTAATAGTAATATAATATAATAATAATAATAGTAATAATCTTCAATCTGAATTTCAATAAGCATTTCATATGCTAGCATATCGTATACAGTCTAACTGATATATCTATTTACCTACATATTTGGTCGACTCCGTTGGAAAGTTGACTGCCTAGAAATTGCTTTAATAACTAGTAAACTGTTAATTTTCATTTGATTTTACATAATTCCTCACCAAGAAAAACCCATCGATGATCTTGTTACCATCAAAAGATATTAATTTATCAAATAAAACCGGCAAATAGTGACAAAAATGTTCAACTGAATTTTCGTTAACATTTAATTACTTTTTGCACAATAACTTGAACAATATATGTATAAAACGTCTCAAAAAGCTGTATACAAATCTTAGATGTGCCCTCGAACAGTACATTTGTGTAAACTAAGATTGTATAAATTTTGTACATTTCAAGAGTTAAAATTTGGTTCTCTGCGGTCGTCGCAATTAATAAAAACATACATCTGCGTTATGATCGTGCACGGATAGTGCTGCCAAGTAGTTATTTAACCCTTTTAGTGCCGGAGGCCGATATATTATTTATATAACTTTCAATGAATATAGAAAATCTAGTGTCATTGTTTTGTTCTCTATTTCGTCCTTAATTTACTGCTTTTCGAATCATGTAAATATTGTTTCTTGTTTGGTTTTCATGAGCATTTTCCCAAACCCCTCTTTTTCGCATGGCATTAAAAGGGTTAAGACGTTGGTAAGACCGTTGTTACAATAGGACATTATAAGGACAGGAGTCGGTGCAGCATGAAAGCCATTTAAATTGAAACGGCGGTCTTACGTTTGCGTGGTGGCCACGGTGTTCTGCGGCTGCACCTGAATCTGCACCCCATCAGCGCCTTGCTGGCTGTATGCAACGGTGAGCACCGTTGCTGCACCCTGGGGGAATTGTCCCAACGAGATCGGGGCCAAGTGATATTTCGGCTGATCGCCGCTGTTCCCGCTCTGCGACACACTGGGGTTGACCACCTGGATCTGGACGGTTTGCTGTTGCTGCGTGCCATCTTTCCCAGGTACGGTGATCGGCAGCGTGATTATCTGTTGCTGTTGATTGTTGCCGCCCTGAGCAACGGCGAAACCGTTCGGGTCGACCGGCCTCAGATAATGAACGCCGCCTTCGCCGCCAGAAAGGACGCCGACCACTTGACCCCCAGTCGGCAGGTTCTGAGCGAATTTAGCGGTTGCGAACTGATGAACCGTCCCTGTCGGTAGCGAGCCTGCCGGGAATCCGGGAAACGGTGTGAAATTCATCTTTCGCGATTGCTAGACCTGAAAACAAAAACAATACGACATCTTTTAGACACTGCAGAGTAGCAGGTGAGACATTATATAATCGGTAATAAGATATCCTTTTAATCATATATTATATTATATAGTTATTATATTATATATATTAATATATATATTATATTTTATATTATAAGTTTGGTATATATATATTATTTCCGGGAAACGGGGACTCTTCTTGAGGCCATTTCAAGTAACTTTTTCCTTTGCGAAAATTTTCTCCGAGACTTCGTTAACGAGTTATCAACGAAAAACCACTGACCAATGAGAGGCGAGATTAGCTGGCGCGAGGCGGCCGAGCCAATCAGCGGAACTAGGCGCCGCGCGCTCGTTGGCTGGGCCGCCGCGCGCTCCTTGGCTGGGACACCGCGCGCCGCTCAAGCTCGCCTCTCATTGGTCAGTGGTTTTCGTTAATATCCCTAATAATAAGATTAATATTAATATAAATGTAACCCTCTCAGACAATTTTCAAGTCCTTTCCCCCATCACATAGGAAGCTACAGGGTGAAATTGTATTAACGCGCTATTTCTTTTAGTCTGTTCAACAAAATAATTATGACAAAATTTATGAATCTTCTATCTAACGGGGCACAAAATTCTTGGTTGCAAAATCAATTTTTAAAAAAATCCAGGTTTTTTATAATTTACTTGTATGGCTACGTTGCTCGTCCAAAATTTAATACAATTTTATTGTTAATTTGACCACTGTTTCTGAGAATTATTCAGACCTTACTTACAATAGTTTTTTACTAAAATTATTGTTTGTAATCAAAATGGTTTCAGCTACACGCCCCACCCTGTATAATTGTGTAAAACCGTGGTGAAACATTTGTTGAACGAAACACGATTGTAAATGCCACGGAGAAAAAAGAAACAGAAAAAGTAGGATACTGAATAGATGATGATAATAGGTAAATATACATGTATGCGTGTATTACACAGTTGCACTCACTTTGACGCACGAGAGCTGCTGTCGATGTGCATCGACCTTCGCAACTTCGAACGATTTCGACATCTATCATCTTCATTTTATATATTCGATAAAAGGACTAAAGAATTTATTATTCAATTCTACTTGTATTTATATATGTAGTATATAGAAATATACGTACACCATATTATTTTTCGTTTTTAAAGGTGATATGCTCCTGTGAAACTGAAGAAATTACGAATCAATATTTTGAAACTGTTTTAACGTAGGGGGCAGAAAAAATCGAATAAAAGAAAAATTAAAAAAACATGCGGAAAAAATATATACAATCGCTTAGTCCAAAGTGGACTAATCCAAGAGTTATTGGTTAACATCAATATTTGAATACTTTAATACTGTGTTTACTTCAGTTTATTTTAGTACTACAATACAATACTAATTAGTAGGTTGTGTAACAAGTCCATTCGCGGACCGCTGACATCTAGGAAACGACAAGGAAAATTACACGAGTTTAAAGCGATAGTTCAAATAAATTCTGAGATATCTTATCGTGGAGCTATTTCCATGCAACTTAGCTGAAACGAAAGCTGGAAGCGTCTACTTTAAAACAGGATATATTAGATTGCGCTAGAATCACGAGATCGTTTTGAAAAAATAAAAGGGATCGAGTTCTGACATCATAGGGTTTGCAAGATTTAAAAGTAAAAGTTCAGATAAATTCCGAGATATGTTCTCGTAGGGCTATTTCTATGCAACTTAGCTGAAACGAAAGCTGGAAGCGTCTACTTTAAAACAGGATATATTAGATTGCGCTAGAATCACGAGATCGTTTTGAAAAAATAAAAGGGATCGAGTTCTGACATCATAGGATTTACAAAATTTAAAAGGGAAAGTTCCCATGGGTTTTAAGATACGTTCCCGTAGAGCTATTTCTATGCGACTTGGCTTAAATGAAAGCTGAGAGTGTCTACTTTAAGACAGGGTAGATTAAGCTGAAAGTGTACGTACAATAAGTCCGTTCGCGCGCATCGAGGACTGCACGGTACCATATTTTATTTACAAGAAAACGCGAACGGACACAAGTACACAACCTAATAAAATATAATTGGAAGTTTAGACGGTTGAGTGTTTGACACTAATATTGAATATTTATTAGAATTCTTCTCGTTGCTAGGATCTATAGCTACACAAACTTTTTATTAACTTCAACGAAGATAAGAAAAAGCTAAGAAAAAAAAGTATCTGCCGAATATTTGTCAAGCTATATTTTACACAATTTCCATCAAAATCGTGAAGTTACACCGCATTAATTGCCCTAGTCGGTTACGATGTAACAGTTTCGTCTGACCGAGTATTCAAATTTAAAGTCAAATCCGCGAATGCTTACTTGTATACATTGTTCCGGCGCCGGAGTTCAAGTTACATACACACATATATTCCAAGTCATAGTCGGATGGTACGCGGGTAGTAAAGGCTCTAGTATTTACCCTACACGTATGTCCCTTTGACAGAGTGTTTCAGTAGGAGTATCCTACACGCGGCGAGAAAGTTGCTATACAATTGCCGTGTGAAAGTACGTGTAGCACGTGCTCCGCAAGCACAGTAGCCATGCATCTCTTGAAACACACCGGGATACCCCACGCTAGTATGTACGTATGTATATGTATAGCGCCAGCAGGCTACATGTGGCGAGTCTGCTACGACGTACTCGTATATCACAATAAATACGTCAAGATCAAGGTTGACCTCGTCAGTGCATCAGCCTTCTATTTACTGAAAAGATATATATATATATATATGTAAAGAGAGAGAGAGAGAGAGAGAGAGAGAGAGAGAGAGAGAGAGAGTTGGTACTCGGCTATGAATCGGCACGTTCCCCACCCCCGTAATCCGGCGCCCTTATATCCCCCTCGTTACCGAAACGCTCGCACGTCTCGTATACAGAGCATCAAAAGACGCTTGTTTCCCGAAGTTGAAGCTCTCGTCGAGGCATCGTCTTACCATCTCCGCCGTCGAAGTCTTAACTTCAGACCTCTTGACCATGTGTAGGTATGTGGGGGTGGGGGATGAGGTATCCCCCACTTCACCCCCTCCCCCACCTCAAAGGGATCCGGGAGCAGGGAGGATAGTCGTCGAAGTGGCCCAGGATTGCACCCCACTCCACTACGATGGTGTCCCCACGGGGGTAGGGGGTAGGAACACGATGAGGGTAGGGGGGAACCCATAGGTGGGAAAACGGGAACCCACCGCGAAATAGACCCCGAGACTCTCGTGCGTTCTCCCTCTCTCTCGCTCTCTCTCTCTCACGCGCGCCAACACAACACACGGAACACCGCGAGAATAGGACGGGAAGGAACGATAGTTCGGGTGTGTAGGTGCGTAAGCGTGTGCCGTAAGCTCGAAGGGGTAGGGGCATGTCAAGAAAGAAGGGAGACGAACCTCGACATACTGGGAACTCCCCGGAGAGGGGAACGCGAAATATCGGGAGAGAACATACGAAGCAGACATCGTGGCAGACGAAGTGGGACACACCGATGACTCTCGCCCTTGATCTACCCGTGGTAGGGAAGGAACAGAAAACGAGGGAGATAGAGAGTGTGAGAGAGAGAGAGAGAGGCAGAATGAAAGAGAGAGGTTAGGTTACCCGTGCACTTCTCCTCCTTTCGACGCATCGAGGAGGGTGCCGTGTCGAACGAACGATTACTCCGTGGCTGCAAGTCGTTGTGGGTGGTTGCGCGACTTTGTGAAAAAAACAACTAGCAGAGTCCGAACACGCAGAAACGAACGCACCACGGATGCGTTTTTCGGCTTTCGCGGAATGGCGTGTACGACTGACCGGTCAGCCTCGCCGACGTACCGTTGCAAGACGCGCATGTCGTAATGGCGCCGATTCTCTTAAGGCTCAACATATCTCTCTCTCTCTCTCTCTCTTTCTCTCTTATACTCGCTCCCTCTGGTATACTACCGACTGTATACGGTATACGTAGAGATATATGTATCGATATATAGGTATACATATATACGGGTACATATATGGGTATATATATATATGTTCCCTCTCTATTTCTCTTTCTCTGTCGTACACGCATCGAAGAGAGCACATAGCACGTCTGGTCATTCGTGGCTTCTAGAGAAATTCTATCTAGATGTCTCGCATAACTGCACAGACAGGCTTGGCTCTGATAGCGGAAGGGGCACCGCACGCGGAACGGAATAGCCCGCCGCGGCATTGTGCAATCGGACGTATTTTTTTTGTACACCGTCCGAGGATAAAAATCACGCGATCGTACGAATAAAAATCGTATTCGAGGAGGATCTACCGTATCGATATCTGTGTAAACGGGTTTCGCATGGAACCCCGAATGTAGAGATATTGGGTTAAGAAAGCGTCATTGCGGTTTAAGCGAACGCGAATGCGCGAGCACAGTCAGACAGTTCGAGACGAGACGAGACGAGACGAGACGACGGTGGGCAAGGTTACACGTCAGCAGGTTTGATTATGCATCGGCCATGTTGGAGCGATCCGTGGTACGGAGAGCGCGAGAAAATAGCACAGGTCCGCGACGAGGCTGGCGTGCTTTGTTCTCTCGACGGTTATATTCCCTCTCTTTCCCTTTTTCCCCGCGTCCCTCCTCCCTTCCTTTTCGTGGTCTTTCGATCGCGCATCGGGAGATGTTACATTGGAGAAGAAGTAGGAAAAAGATCGTGTGGCTGAGTTGGCAGAGGCGAGAGCAGGGCAGAGGCGAAACGGAGGACAGAGTAGAGCCAACAGAGGCACACAGGCAGGGCTGTTGTTTACACCCCCACCTCGACGGGTTAGAGGCAGCGAGATGCCACGGAGGGGCCTCCGAGACCTCGGCGGGCACCCACCACCACGCAATTTCCAACCCCACCAGCCTCTCAACCACTGTCCGCACCTCCAACCACCCCACCAAAGCCAGCCCGAGCCAAGCCGTGAGCCACGACGAGGGCCCCGCGACGATTTTAGTGTCTTGGGGTGGGTGCTCTGTGGCCACTGTTTCGCGGTTTCTCGTGTGCACGTTTCGCATTAGGAGAGTAAAGCGCGTAAAGAGATCTCCACCGGGGGGACGGCATCGTCCGCGGCCGCGGAAATCCTCCAGGTAGCACGACGACAGTACAACAACACGGCTACCGCCGTTCGGAGGACGGGTGCCACCGCGAGTTCCCAATTTACGCACAAGAGAATCATTCACGGAGAAATGCGTGTGTCCTACTTACCCACGAGCAGCTGTGAACTCCCCTGTGCACTCCTTTCGACGTACTGCTACGACTGTTGCGTCGGAACACCTTCACGTAGTACTGAGACCGTCCGCCTGCTGGCTGACTCGCCTGCGTTGTTTTCAATCTTCACCGCGGCGGCAGCAACTTTCTCATTTCTACGTACACGCTCGACGTGTGCCACGGCTCTTTTTGACTAGCCGCGCGGCCACACTGCTCACGGCGCACACGTCATGCGAGACGAACGAACGTGTCGCTGGCAAATGGACGAGCCCGTGACTCCACGATTAATTCGCGCACTACTGGCTGCTTTTCCGCGGTAACGGCGGTCCGCGACGCGCACTCATTTCCGGGTTTACGAGAGCCGAGAGTTCGATCGGGTATGGCCGAGAGTCCGGTCGGTAGGTAAGCGTGGTTCTTCTCTCGGGCCGGCCAACGGGGAATGAATTCGAGCTAACGGTACATAGCCACCCGACCGACGATGGTCGCACGTTAACTCGAAGCGCCGCGGATGTGCCAGGCCACACTCTCCTGAAAACCACGAGCTGTGAAAGTAGACACCCTCCTTCTTCCTTCCTATCGCAGCTTTATCTTGAACGATCTCGTGCCACCGTCTTCGTTGAACGCATTCTCGTTTTTTTCAGTCAACAAATTAAAATACTACTAACCGCGAAAACTTGCGCCGCTATTAATATTCTATCGGAGAAATATCAACTATGGCGGCGGTTACGCGCGGAGTATATCGAGAGAGCAATGGGAAAGCGGCGCGTGCGCGCTTGCTGATTAAACCAAGTCAGTTCTTATGGTATCATTCTATTTGCAGGTGCGACAGAAATCCTTATAATTTTTCCGAAGATCACTGACTTTCGGGATTATTTTATAGCAGCGCAGAAAACACCTGTCCGTCGCTCTATCCTACTCCCAGCCACTTCGTCACTTCGTCGACACTAACTCTGCGCGCACCTAGCGGACACTGAAGTGAGGTTAGGTCGAAAATCGAAGTATCGAGAGCGGTTCGATAGTTGCCATCTTTTCGATGTAATGACCGCTCGATATGAATCGTTCAGTGCCATCTATTATTATTGTGTACATCTTACATGTGTATCCTTCCTTATGCCGAATGAAATTGTATTCTTAAGGTGCGACAGAAAAACCAAATCAAGTAAATTAAATGTTTTCCTTTTTTTATTTTGCTGTCTCTGTTGTAACAAATGTATAAATTGCTGCCAATTTTTACAATTTTAAAACAGTTTCGCGACATTGTACATTATGTTGTATCGAAAAGGCAAATAACAACAGGTCTGTTAGGAATAGCAATTTAATGTAATATTTATCTATTGTTATATATTAAAGTAAGGATAGATGGTCAATTATTAACGCGTTTTACTAATAATAAATTCATTAATCGTACTTACAATTTTCATCTATATGTTTCTGGTCGACAAGGAAAAGTCAGGGGGTAACCTGAGGTCGACCAATATTTTATAACGAATTTAGAGCAAGCATGTGCTAGACGTATTATCTAAATGTTCACAAGGAATATACATTATTAATGCTTTGGACATTTAACATTAAAATTTAATTAAACCCTTGTCGACGAATCAATATACGTGGCGGATTCACATTTCTTTAATTTGTGTTTCGCTTAATTAATTTCAATAATTTACGTCGTAATAAATAATTTCATTTCCGATAAGACTAAAAGATTTCCTAAATGATACACCTTTCGCAAGTCTAAACAATTTAGTTGTGACAAAAATATATTGAAAAGGAATGAAGAAATGACATGCAAAAAATGCTTCATGATTAATAATTATATATAGTAGACTCCCACTTATCCAGTTTCTCTGTTTCATCTTTCGGATATTTAAAGGTTTTCGTTCACAGATCGATCACTTATAAAGATTTTGCTCTTACTCTGCGTCTTTTATAAAGATTTCAGTTTCACTTTGTATGATCTTTTGTCCGAGACGAGACATTCAATAAATATTTATGTACAATGCATACTTTGTATCCTACTGTACAATCAATAAACGATACTTTGCGCACGCATTTGATTTAACCGATTTATCCAGCCTTGAGTTTGCTCCCACAGAAACTGTTTAATTGGGAGTCTACAGTAGTCTGAAAATAGATATATCAAAACGAATCAGATGTTCTTTGTATACGTTCCATGTATAAGGTAAATAACAACTTATTACTTTCATAATAAAAGGGATTTTCAAACGCGTCGAGGCCCGGTTTATATTCGGCTGTGTAGCTGCTTTGGCTCGAACTACATCCGTCGTACAGCGGCGATCCTTGGGAGAGATCCGAGTAGTTTGGTGAAGGTAAAAAACTTTTGTTGCTCCAATCCGCATCCATATTTTCTGTCATATTCACTTGCATGCCTGACAAGTTATTAATATGGAGATTATTGATTCTTTTGCTTAATGGCATAAATTCGCTAGACTCGTCCTCTGCGTTACGTCCTCGTTTTCTGAAATTAATACAATTATATCAATGAAACAAGATCTAACGTAGTCATTTGTATACTAGATGAAAACAGTTATGTCACTTTACAAACACGTAAACAAAAACTAACCTGTTATCTCTCGTTATTCTTGAATTAACCTGATCTTTTAATAGTAAGTCTTCCTGCGAATTCATTGCTAAACAATCCATATTATAACATTCGTAATAATTTCGTAACAATCAATGTCGTCTACCATACAAATTAATTCGCCTGTCAAGAAAACAATGCTCGATTAGGCGAATTGGCAATATACACTTCCAATATTTTCACGCAGCAATAGTTCTCTCTTTAACTGGTAGAGTGCGTCAGCGACATGTTTCAGAGTCAATTCTCATGAATCTTGCAATATCGTATAATTCTCGCAAAGTTGAGAATTAATAAACGAAAATATCTAATTCGATTGATTAAATGATTATTACGGTTAAAAAGGAATTAGCGATTAAACTAATCGACAATCACGTTAAATATTATCCAATTTATTAACGATTCTTATTAATAATGATAACAACGAGGAGTAATAACACAAATAAGTAAGATTACTGTGATGGTAAGACGAGAAGAAATGTTTTTCAGCGTTGTATGACGTGGTGTTTGTTTGCTAAATATTTCAAGTTGATTGGTGATAATTATTTCTGAAAAGGAAACGTGTAATCTGTATTTTTAGTATTGCGGTTGCATTACACAATAATCTAATAAGCGCTGTCTCGAAATGTATAAAACAAGGTAATAAAAGTTGTCAAACATAGCCGAGTTTAAAACACTAGATAAATATCGTCTACGTGCGATCAATTTTGGATAAAATAAATTACCGTAAAATATTTCGCTTTTCGATTACGCGGTTATGATTCATGTTTCTATAAGCGTGATTGATAGTTTCTTAGAACCTCGCACGCTTTTCTAATTTCCATTATTCGTGAGTAATCGCATACCATCGTCTACCATTCATTCAGGGACCGGAAGTAGCGTATGAATATATTCAATACACGTGAGAAGGGATTTATGTATAATACATATGTACACACATGTTTCGTAAAGGCAATTTCTATGTGTTCTGCATTTTTCATGTTACATATGTAGCCTAACTTACTAACGATAATGTTGATTAAATTCTCTCTGAATATCTGCTGTTTAGAAAAATATCTATCAAATATTTTCGGTTAAACTATACATATTTAGCCAGAACGATGTTCCTTTTGCTGTTTTTGTTTCGTTCTTCAGTTTCGAGCAAATAAAGTGTTCCCAAACCAACCAATATAGTGATGTTTCACGATGATAGTGATAAACTGTCTTCGTTTACATGGTGTCGTGCGAAAAGACAAAGGCAAGAGAGTCATCTCACGTTAATAATTTGAAAACAAAGTAAAAATCGTAACATCGTCATTTTCGTCTCGATTTGTTTCGTAGGATCGCCTCTTAAAATATGTTTTACTATTTTTACTATATGTTGTACTATTAATGTTTATTAAAGTAGATGATCTTGTATGTTGTATTTTGCAGAATTTTTTATGGTTTTGAATCGCAATTAATTAGATCGTGCACAAGTTTTCCCTTTAAATGATATTCTATTACAAGCAAACAATTAAAGAAACAAAAAGGGACTCGCGAGTGCTTAAAACATAAGCGACAGAGTTTTATCTAGAGTACTCTTTGAACATATCGAAGAGAAATTAAACGCGTGTATCCTATCGTGGGGAGATCAAGGCCATTTATAGTAAAAGATTTAAAGCGATGTGCAAACCGTCCATATTTGGCTCCTTTATACATGCTCCGCTTGGTACGTGGGTGTGAACGCACCCTCGTTGTTATTCTGACCGAGTCGTTCCAATTACAACGTGATATGCACGTTGACGAACTTAATTAATTTCAGAAGATTTCCCGGTGTGCCGCCGAGTGAAAGACCGGTGAAAGAGCCGGGCTGTATTAGGAAGTCGGAAACGTTTGTCGTCTTGGAAACGTTTATCTCGGAGGATGCCGACATCCGTAGGATAACGTGTGTCTTACCACAGGAAGGGGAAACGTATTTTCGTCGACAGTCTACTAATTTATCGAGGTTCTCAATTTCAGAGAATGTCCAAACGCTTTTTTCCTACAAATATTTTGTCAAATACTGAATAATTTCTCGCAAAGTCGTTACGATATTATTGAATCAGTATGATCCGACGATATATTGATGCAAATAGCAATTATTATGTTTAGTAATCGGATTGAGAATTTTCTGTGAGATAAATATTTTCTGAAAGACCTGTGGGAAATAAGTTTCGTAGAATGTGACAAATTTCTTACATTCTTCTCGAACTTTCACTGTTCTATATTTCATAAAATTATTATATTATTTAATAATATATTATTATTAAAATAATTAAATAATATATTTAATAATATATTAGTATTATTATTATTATTATATAATATAGTGTTATTGTACGTATATAGAAAGCTATTTTTAAATATAAACATTGAAATATTCTACGTCAAATCATTCTATGAAGAAAATAAAAAATCGTAAAAGATACCTTTCTCGTGTGAAATGTAACAATCTAATTTTTGATTGGTAAGACCAATGATATTCGATTAGTTCATTGCACAGGATATTTCGTTCTTTGATCCGAAAATCGCGAAAGATATAATCTCGATCGTAAAAGATCGCATTATTTTTAACGTTCTAAATTAATCAGGTCGCCTAGCAGTCCCGTAATTCCATGTACGATTTTCTAGTCGATCGATCGCATCTGCGGAAAGATGTCTGGTACGTATGGATGTGTGTGCCTGTGCGCGACACGTACATCGAACCAACGGTGGCCTTGATTCCTAAAGCCGTAAAAAGATCCCGTCGTTGGGTCAATTAAACCAAGCCACGAAGTCATTGACTTTAGGTGCACGACGGCCAATTTCTCTTCGACAGGTTGTTACGTGGCCTGTCCCAAAAACCTTCACGTCGAAAATAATCCGACGACCGTTCTTTGTTTTTAAGCACAGTTCACGGTTAAAGTTTGAAATGAGCTTAGCAGACGAGCCGATCGAATTTTGCTTTACTGTACATACGAATTACAAAAAAACGTGACGATATAATATATATATATTAATATTATAATATTATATGATATAATATATAATATATGTTTATGCAAAATAAAAATTATCCAAGTTAATTGTAAGAAATATAAATTGGACGAATCTTTCTTTTAACAATCGAGATAAGTTGAGATTAATGTAACAACACCCTTAAATTCTTCTTGCATCTTTTTATTTCTGTATTTGACTTATTCGTTTTGTTGAGGTTGCGTGAAACTGTGAGAATGCGTGTGCGCACACTGAATCGGTTGCTGGTACAATTTTGGTTGGCTGCGTGTTTCGAATGACTACTAATTAAATTGAAATACAATAAACTATTGTACACTTTCATACTGCGTGAATTTATTGTAGAACACGCACGATGAACATTGAAACAGGTTATATGGGCCCAGGACACGTGAGAATCGGAAAATAATCGAACATAAGAAAAGTGAGGTTAGGTTTACATTGAAACACATTTTTGTCATAAATGCACAAAAAATCCACAGTCCAGTCATTATTTTCGTTAAAGCGGTTGAACAGTTACTATAGACAAATTGTAGGAACAGAAAAGTTTGAATAACAAGAAAAAGGGAGAAAAAAATGTTTAAAAAATTTTCAATTTGAGCGTATTTATGAAAAAAAATAACGCGGCCTCTTATCTATGCTAAACTTTTGTAGCTAGGTAAATTATTCAATTACACCGAGTGTACTGAATTGTACACAATATCGAATTAATTAATTCTGCCGAGCAGTCACGTTTTTTGGAAAAATACTTTTAAGCGGATTAACTAACTCGCTGATCTTTTTATATAATAATATATATAACCACATAAAATATATATTTTATATTTATATATATATAATATAATAATAAATAAACAAAATCGCTTCGAGCATGTTTTTAATCTAGAGTTTATTTAATTCGACGAAACAAAAAGAAAGACACAAAAGAAGCACTTGTTTGGATGACCTCTCTGAATACGTATCTACATGCATACACGTGCATACGTATCTCATTCTATCTGCAACGCGAGGCAGCTTACGTTGCATCGGTTCGATAAAGTTTTAACAACCGAACATTTCCATATATGGGCATACGAAGAAACGAAAACGATTGCTCAGCGTGTGAGTAACGTTTCAGATTATTCGGCGTGTTTGTAACGTCAAAACGCAACTCCGCGTCGATCGGACGCGACAGGAAAAGAGCCACTCCCTGGCCAGGGGGAAAATTGTATCACTTGCTTGCGATTCTCGAAACCGTTTCAACAAAACTTGCCCGTCTTTCCTTCCTAATGGCGGATTATTTTTCGCTAGTCTGAAGCTTCGAACCTATACAGTCGCTACAGATAACTATACTATGTGTGTATACGTAGAAAATACGTAGAAAAGAAAGCGTTTCGTTCCTGCTATTGTATTGTGTATTCGTCAGTTAGGCTAACCTGAGAGGTTATGTGTATACCTTTCACAAAATTGTCAATTTTATTCGTCGGCAATATTTTTAACAGAAAGATCTTTTCATCTTGTTTCAAGTGTAAATTGTCTTCGATGAAAATATCTTCCAATAGGCGAACGTATTTATAAAATAACAACGATGAAATATTGAATTGTACAAGGTTGCCGATATTGCTGGTAGAAAATCTCTTTACTTTTTCATCGGTATAAGTATAAATTTGATTTGATTTATGACAAAGACTTTACGACAAAGAGATTAGAAAGGCTTGCGGATATTGTTACATTATAATCAACTTATTACGATTATTAAGAACATTTTCATCTGATTTTAGTTTGCTGCTATATATTGATATTTTATTATTATATATTATTTATTATATTATTATTATATATTGGTATTTTATTGTTTGCTGCTATATATTGTTATTATTATATATTGAAATAAAACACAATTTGTTCGAATTAATTAATTATATTAATGACACCGTGGTAATTTCGTTGAATATATTTACCTTTTTGAAGAAACCCGGTAAGCAAATTGTCCTGAATTTGACAGGAATCTGATCGTATGCAGTCATGCCAAGTTCTAAGCCAGTTCTAAGCTTTGGCACCAATGCCTTGCCATGCCAAATACGGGCCAAATCCAGACCAAACCTTACAGCAGTGCCGCATCTGCCGCACGAGTGCTACCGACCTGCCCTCTTCAAAGCAAACGTTCCGCTACAAGATTGCGCCAAGTTTGCCATTGATTTGGCAACGCGAAGCGTCTGCTCCCAAATACCGAGCGATTTGGCCTTAGCAAAATACATGTCAAATGCGAACCAAAAGCATTGTTTCTCCACCAAATTCACATAAATTCTTCGCAAAGTACACTAACAAGCGTTTCGCATGTATTTGGTCGAAGCAAACTCGACTAATCGAGAATCCTAGTCAACTAAATCAAGTAATTTATGTACGTTTTACATCTATATGATTAATTATAATTAATTATAATTCTTAATATATTCTTAATAATTCTTAACATCTATATGATTTAATAATTATAAACGTATAGCCTCCAGAATTTTTGCAAATGCTGAATAAATTCTAAAATAATATTTTAGAAATATTTATTTATCTTGAATAGGTGAATTCAAGTGATTCGAGTGTTTGTATAATTTAGAATTATTACTTCGGAGAATATACGTAGTGTACTCGTGTAAAACGATGATTAGCGGGAAACTGGGTGGGACAACCCTTAACGTGGTTATGTCGATGACGTTTATTGATCAGAGGAACGATTCTGATTTCACTGGGAGAGTGACACAGGGACGGCGGAGCAACGTGGCCGAGCCGATGAGTAATCCGGGAACGGGTGAGTCTATCCTTTTCTGCTGCAACGGACGAAAATAAAGACTGCCCGCGCGGGCCTAAATTGGACTATGCACGCCGTTGGATTAGGTCGACGTCCCGCACGTGAGATAACCCCCGACGCTTGGCCCCTAAGCTAGGAGACCCACGTGACACATTTGTCGGCTACGATTACGACTAGGACTAGGACTACTACCGGCGACTACGACAAGGACAAGAGACAAGAAGCGAGGGTGAATTTACACGGTGGGCTCGTCACTTTCAATGCCACGTAGCTGCGCCACGGGGATGTCCCCACCCGCTCCATGGCTCTCTCGTTCTCTGTATGGGGTGAGTCATGGCAGTCCCTCCCGGTTTGGGCGTGGTGGCCACTGCAGACGTTTCTCATCGATCTACTACCCACGGCCGTGAAACACCATAGAGCCGAAACGACTCGCCAAGGTGGTCCCTTTAATATTTGCTGTACGGGGGCCTCCCGTGGAAATTTGATCAGTCTCTACGCTTTTCTACGGTATTACCGGTATTTGGAATGGTCAGACAATTGAGCTTTTTTTCTTTGGAAAAAAATTAGTTAATGGTAACTTTAGTAAGGTATTATATTCCTCTTTTTATATTTATAGTCGTACATTCAGTGGACCATGGTTTCTTGATGAAGTAATCGAAAATGTTTTAGTCAGTGGAATAAGTCAATTTTGTAATAATCATTTTGGAGTTGCGGAAACAGCCATTAAAGGGGTGTTTTGTATGCTACTTAAGATTATTATAATTTAATAAAAAATTTCCGGGAAAAGTAGCTTCACTTCGTGTGAAATGAAACGAGAAGATTTTGTCTCAACGAAATCTCTAGAGGCAATATCAAACAGGAAAAAAGATATGGACGTAGAACTTATAAACTGGCTGAGGCTTAAAGGGGATGAACCGCGCAAAATTTTGTACAAAACTAAGTATGGGAGAAAATGCTTCGTTTAAAGCTATATTTTTAATTGAAAAAAAGGAAGACCTAAACATCTCAGGAAAATTACATGAAATTACAAGATAGAAGAAATATGACGATACAATAAGTTTACTGCCTTACATGCCACTTATTTACCACGAATATGGTAAGCGTAAAAGAGAAATAAGTTTAAAATATAAAAAAAGTGTTAATATAATATATTTATTTTATATATTATATTTATATTATATTAAATATAAAAAAAAGTATCATTATGTTTACGAAGCAGTCCTTCGATTCCTTCGTATCGACAGATTCTTCATTCAATTTCGAGTAAAACGAATATTTATTATTATTGAGTAATACGTTGTGAAACAAAAGTATTTGCACATTTGACTAGTTCGAAATTTACATTTGTAAGCTTAACTGTATTGATTATTTAAGAGTATCGCAGTGATCATTTTATTATTTCCATGGTATTTTTTGTTGTCAAATGGGGCTCGGAATTAACCGGCAACATGAGGATCGCGGGGGTTACGCCTCCTGACTACCGTCGCGCTTATCTCTCTCTGTGGTCGCCTCTTTCGGCACAGAGCACCTCAGACGCCTGTGCCTGTTACTGTGTGCGTATGCGTGCGCGCGCGCGCGCGCGTGTGTGTAGCATTCAAGCGATCATCGCGATCAGCGTGAAATGAACTGAAGCATAATAAATAAACAAAATTATGGTAAATTAAACAAAAATATGTTCTCTTCGAAGTAGTGTACAATTTTTCAATAATTCTGAAAATAACGGAACAGCTGCTTCTGAAAGACAAAACTTCTCTTTTTGTTAAAAAGAAAGTCAAATTTGAAAATTCATAGAAAATGGGAGGATGAGAATATCGAAAAAAATTCTATTCTACTTTGTAGATGATTTCGTAAAAAAATAATGTGTTAAAATTGTATGCCAATTGGATGAACGCTTTCGAAGATCTATCGGTTGTCAGTTCGAAAAATACATTCTAGAAAATATTGGTTTGAGGTTATAAACTAGCCTTCCTCTAGATTGAAAGAAACATTTTTTTAATTCATCTTTTTTTGAGCAAACATAACTGCAAATAGACATGTACGTTTCTTCGTACACCCTGTGTTGCCCTATGCCACGCCTACAGATAAAAGGTATGCATCATTTGTTTATCGGAAATTGGGATTCGTGAAATCCCAGGGTGTCGATGAATCATAAAGTAATGCACACACATACGTGCAATGGATCGTCGCAAATAAAAAATAATTTAATATTTCTATCATTTTTGAGTATGCTGAAAATTTGTTTTATTCGTTTAATATCTGTAAAGTTTACATGTGTAAAATATTGTTTTATATAATATTAATTTATATTGTTTTATAAAATAGTATTTATATTTATTAAATACTATTTTATATACAAAATAATAATACGGTTTATATATAGCAAAAGCTAAGTATTTGTAAAAAAACCAAAACTTAAGTGTAAAAGTATTAACTGAAAAAATATGTTTTTTCATTTATAAAGATTACATATGTGAAGTTCGTGTACCAATAATTAGCAGGGTGCTTTAAAATTATTCTGTTTAAATTGAAAATGTGTTCTACCATTCATTCACACAAGAGTACATTCTAATTTATCGTATTATTAAAATATTAAGAAAAATTAATGTGGTTTATAGTCTTTGGATATGTTCCAGTTCGCATTTGCAATATGTATGAATATACAGGGTGACCCTGAACTCATTCATTGATGATTTTGTAGTTAAAGTTTGGTTAACTCGTTGCTTGATCATGCATTTCTTCATAATTAATTTCCAAGAGGTACATTTTAATAATCTAAAGTAAGAAAACAGAAAAATTGAAAAAATCATTCAAACTCTGCCTATTGTCTTTGTAATGCACTTCAATCTTCAAGCGTGGTTTTCTCAAAACTTTGTTTTTTCACTCAAATACCAATTGCGATATTATCTTGAAATTTTATCTATAATTAAAACAAATGTTTCTTTAAAGCTAGAACTAGAATCAACTAAGAATATGGAATATTGTTCTTCCTATTAACAAAAGTGTACAGAATCTTTGTACAATTCTGTATTTCCTATCTTCCAATTATTATCATTTTGGCAGTTTTGGTGATATCGAGACTGGTATCAACAAATTTCAAATTAACCTTTGACCTATATCTGAATGCATACTATATGTACATTTTAATATTAATTTGGTATCTAAAGGAATATGAAGCGTCACATTGAGTACTTCATATTGTCATAACGAAAGACTGCTTCGATGAAATTTTTGATACAACCAAATCAGAATAGATTCTGAAAAAATCACTGCTGCACGAACTTCACCTTTTGCACTCCAATGGTGAGTCTCACTCATCATCTTCATTTACACGAATTGGAATCTGTACAGATGTAATAAAAGTAATATATCCAAAATATATTTTATAAATATTTTTTTCTGAAGATAAACCTGATTGATATCATAAACATTACATTCTAAGAAACGATATCATCGTTTGACGAGCCCTTTTTTAGTAAAGTAATGTTATAGCGATATAAGAAAAATAAAACTAAAAATTAATAAATCTCGTTTGAACGAGGAACACGTAGAATTCGAGAAATAAAATAAGATCATATATAGTCAAATTGAGAATAACTTTTTTATTCGAATGTTATGCATATATTTAAATGTTAGAAATATAATATGATCTTGTTTCATTTTTTTTTTAATGTCGCGGAGTTACTGGTTCCACCATGAAAAAAAGCTTGGAGAGCAGAGTTAAGAAAGAGGTTAACCTCCTTCAACTTTTGGATTTGGAAAGAAAACGATTTATATTGATATGTTTAGCCAATACAAACGAACAGATCTTCCAATCTAAAAATCAAGCTTGGAGCGGAAGTTACTGTGGTTATCGTGGAAGGATCTATAGCGACCCACGGAGTTTTCGAAATATGTTACCATGATACAGTATGGTTTTGGAACCGAGTGTGCCTCACGTGGAGCTGGAAAAACAAACTGAACACGAGATGCTGGAACATGTATACAACCAGGGAATATTTTCTTCTGCTAATATTTATACTATTATATATATACTATATATATACTATATACTATTATATATATAATATAATTATATTATAAACAAAGATTACCCAAAAAATAATCGAATTTTTATTTAGTTCCGATTCCTATAAATTAGTGCATGGAGATCGTTATACATAAAAAATATACGACAGTCTATTGCAATTGATTTATTTATATTTTTTTTTTATAATATAGTACTATATAATATAATAGAGTAGAGAATGTATCGCAGAGTTCAAAATCATTGGATATTTCCAGTTGGCACGAATACTGTTGAATACTATACCAAAAGAGCGGTCAACGTTCGCATAACAGCTGTCGTTCATCGTATCACACTTTCGGTAAAAGTAGGCAAATCCGGTGTATTGTATTTGACCTGGAATCGATCGAATTCCGAAAATAGCAAGTAAATTTAAAGATATTTTGAAACATCAAAATTGAGAAATTTTAACGTTTTCATTTTCAAAATTTGTTCAAGGTTATTTGACGGTCATAAATATTATAGGTCGTCGGATTTGTCTTGATCTAAGCTATCGTACTTTGACGACGACAATGTGCAGTTCTATTTAAGAGAAAACTCCGATGACCTTGATATTTCAAAAAAAAAAGATCTTGCAAACATGTTTTTGTCTACTATGATATTTGTCAAACTGAACCAAGTATATTTGTCCTCTAACATATTTATTTTTTTAGCAGTAAAAATGAGCGAGATATTTAAGATGCTGAAATTAAGTGGGACACTCTGTATGTATATAGGGTGTTCAGATATTCACTAGGCAGCGTTCTTTTCGTAAACGGGAAATACTAGGAACAGATCTTAAGGGGTTTCTGAAGGTGACCTTCGATATTGTGAATGCAATATTGCATCTGTTTTTATAACATATGAAAACCGTATGAAAAAGATTGTAGATTTACATCTACGAAGCGTACAACGGTTACAAAAGCAACTGATATAACAAACCTTGTTCTTTTTTTTTACTGTACATACAGGGTAGAACAATTTTACCATGCCCACCTTGAATATTTCGATTGTTTGTAATATAATATCAAAACATGTTACGTACAAAACTTGCATGCTACAAATAGGTACTAAAATCGTACTCCGTTGGAAGCATTTTTTACGTGGGTGGTTATACAGGGTGTCCCATTTACGTTGAGATTCAACGAGACAAAATCTCGCAGATACGTGATTTGTGAAAAACAAACCGACACGTGTCCTTTAGTATTGCCAGTGGCGAGTCAAATGACGTTACTAGTTCTTTAACGCATGCGCGTTTTCAAAGTTATTTCAAGGTCATTTTGCATTTCTTGTCGTAAACCTATATTATTTATTTCGAAATCATATTCTACGTGAAAAAATGCATAACTTTTGTTTGAAACATTTTTCTGTAACTTGAACATTTTTTAAAATATGCAAAACACGCATGGTTTATTTTTTTATGTAGAGTCAGTGGAAAGAGTTTTATCAAAATCAATGACCCAACGATTCCAATCACTCTTTGTAATCAGTAAATTGCTACCAATAACGTATATTCTGAACGAAGTAAATTACTACTAATAATGTAGATTCTGAGCGAAGGGAGCTTCCGCGCAGTGATACGGTCCTGGACACTGGTCCCTCAAGACTCAAGATCCAAGACCCGTTTACGCGCTCCTTCGATTTGCCCCGAGCGATACACCGCGTTCTGCGTCCTGCGTTCCATTTCGCGCGGAGGTGCAATGCACTATGTACACTGTGATACAATTAACAAGGGACCGTCGATATATTTAAATAAATATATATATCGAAGGGAAAAATTCCTTTATCGTATATCAGAGTATATATATATATATATAAATGTCAAAATACAAGAAACTTTCCATTTAAGTATAAAACGTTGCCTACATAATTAAAAAAAAATTATAAAAGACATCGAATTATAAAATTACGTTGAAAAGTTATGAAAATACATTTTTCTTTTATTTTTTTATTACTAATTAAAATACCTCTATTGTTTAGCAATATCTTTCCAAGAAGTTTGTCATTTTAAACAGTATTATTTATTTACGAACAATGTCGTTTTGCCTGATTACCCCTCGATTTTATGATTTCTTTATAGTATGTATTTTTCTTTATTGCAATTATTGCGCGACCGAATCCGCTTTACATGGATGCGACATTCATGCATAAGACACGTGTCAGTTGAAGCGTAGGTCTTCGACATTATTTCTGACGCGCATTGTTTACGTGTTGTGTTTACATGGACTGGGAGGAAATGTGTCGTCGGTCAGCCGGGATAGCATAATTAATTAATATAATTAATAATATAATACTATATAATATAATATAATTATATTATAATAATATATTATAATTTTATAATTATATTATATTATATAGTATTATATTATAAAAAAAATATAAATATAATATAATAAATATAATTATATATATATATATATATATATATATATATGTAGTATTTATACAGGCGTATTTTAAGAACACGTGTGCTTTAATACACGTCCAAAACCGCGACCTCTAATACATACACGCCGCACATATATCATTCAACGCTGCTACAAAACACGATGCGACCCTCAATGGGAGGCGTTGGACTGTTGCCAATTGTGGTCACTTTATTTTGCATCGTTTGGTGCAGAAGATCTGTTGACACGGTATGGCTGAAACGTTCCATTCAACTTTCGACTCTCGTTCCACTTTTCAAGAATAAAGCATTCCGTTGACGATACCTATTATAGCTTTTATAACATTTCGGATGCGTAACGTCAAGCACTCAAATCAACTTGTTAAAATCAACAATTTTATGCATTTATGACGACAGACCTGGTAAAATTTTATTCGAGATAAAAATAAAATATAAGTTTGAATAAAAAATATATATATAATATATACGTATATACGTATATAAAAAATATGTATAATAACACGTAATATACATATATAAAATATATCAAATATGACAAATGGAAAAAATATATATAATATATCCTGAAAATAAATAATAATAATAATAATAATAATAATAATAAACATAATAATAATATCCTGATAATAAATAAAATAAATATATATATCCTGAAAATAATATGCAACAAATGGATTTTATTTGAAGAAATCTACGCATCAATTTGTTCTAAGCAAAACTCTCTCTTCACAGAGATATCATTCTTGAAATAATATGCTCGCTTCCTTCCTCATTCGCTATTTCAATTATGTCAATTATGTCTGTGTGATACCATCGGAGGCAGGGGTGATACTACGTGCGAAAATAAGTCGATAAGAAGGAATAACATTTTTTGTGCAGACGATACGTTCATTATTTACTACCTGTCCGTAACTAGTATAATTCAGTTTTATGTGTAAAATATATATTGTTAATAATTTTGTTACTACAGCAAGAACTCGTTGTGTCATCGACCAAGAGCAGTTCGCCTGTGCAAGTTGCCGACCCACATATTATCCGTGCTTGATCACACCGATATAGAACTCTCGCGCATGTATAGGGTGAGCTAATTGTGATCAACTGCAACGCGTCTAAGCAATGTTGCGGAGCGTNTATAATATAATAAATATAATTATATATATATATATATATATATATATATATGTAGTATTTATACAGGCGTATTTTAAGAACACGTGTGCTTTAATACACGTCCAAAACCGCGACCTCTAATACATACACGCCGCACATATATCATTCAACGCTGCTACAAAACACGATGCGACCCTCAATGGGAGGCGTTGGACTGTTGCCAATTGTGGTCACTTTATTTTGCATCGTTTGGTGCAGAAGATCTGTTGACACGGTATGGCTGAAACGTTCCATTCAACTTTCGACTCTCGTTCCACTTTTCAAGAATAAAGCATTCCGTTGACGATACCTATTATAGCTTTTATAACATTTCGGATGCGTAACGTCAAGCACTCAAATCAACTTGTTAAAATCAACAATTTTATGCATTTATGACGACAGACCTGGTAAAATTTTATTCGAGATAAAAATAAAATATAAGTTTGAATAAAAAATATATATATAATATATACGTATATACGTATATAAAAAATATGTATAATAACACGTAATATACATATATAAAATATATCAAATATGACAAATGGAAAAAATATATATAATATATCCTGAAAATAAATAATAATAATAATAATAATAATAATAATAAACATAATAATAATATCCTGATAATAAATAAAATAAATATATATATCCTGAAAATAATATGCAACAAATGGATTTTATTTGAAGAAATCTACGCATCAATTTGTTCTAAGCAAAACTCTCTCTTCACAGAGATATCATTCTTGAAATAATATGCTCGCTTCCTTCCTCATTCGCTATTTCAATTATGTCAATTATGTCTGTGTGATACCATCGGAGGCAGGGGTGATACTACGTGCGAAAATAAGTCGATAAGAAGGAATAACATTTTTTGTGCAGACGATACGTTCATTATTTACTACCTGTCCGTAACTAGTATAATTCAGTTTTATGTGTAAAATATATATTGTTAATAATTTTGTTACTACAGCAAGAACTCGTTGTGTCATCGACCAAGAGCAGTTCGCCTGTGCAAGTTGCCGACCCACATATTATCCGTGCTTGATCACACCGATATAGAACTCTCGCGCATGTATAGGGTGAGCTAATTGTGATCAACTGCAACGCGTCTAAGCAATGTTGCGGAGCGTTTAAGCGCCGTTCCGATTAATTTCGACTTCCCGGGTGTGACACAGATATTAATGAAAATCGACGATGCCAGCGGAAGGTCGTTAAAAAAAGCATATTTATTTTCATCACGTTTATATATAATACATGCGATTTTCCCTTCTTATGAAATTAAGGGACTTCGAACGTAATAATATTTTATGGGAAAGGAAAAATGTTGTAAAAGCAACTTTCAGAGAAGCCTCTGCCGATACAATTATTCATGTATTATATAAATAAGTAATAATTTTTAAAATGTCAA